CGACGACGACAATGCCGCCATAGAAGGGACGCCGGTACTCGACCACGAAGACGAGAAGTTCCTCGAGCGCCTGACATCGTCCAGCACAAGCCTCCCCGTCAACGACGACGATGACAACGAAGACGAGGTCCCGCCGCCGCTACCGCCGCGTGTCAAGACACCCGTCATGGACATCGACAGCGACGACGACAAGTCGAGCACATCGAGCAAAAAGGACTCCAGCACACCCTCAAAATCCAAGGCCGAGTCCAAATCTCAACCCCAAGACAAAGGCAAAGAGAAAGAGAAAGAGCAAGACAAATCGCCGTCCACCACAGACCACAAACTCAAGCGCTTCACCTTCTCCCTTCGCCGGAAGCCCAAACCATCCACAGCCGGCCTACACCCCAGCACCACAGCCACCCTCACAGTACCCGAAGCACGCTCCGAGACCTCAGACATGGCCCACCTCCTCGACGACCTCGACCTATCCGCAAAAAACAACCGCGCCTTCTCGCTCTCCTCCGAGTCCGCCGAGATGGCCCGGCGCTTCACGCAAGTCCTCCGCGACGTCGTGGCCGGCGTGCCGACAGCCTACGGGGACCTCGTCTCGCTCATCGAAGACCGCGACGGCGTGCTAGCCCGCAACTACGAGCGCCTCCCCTCGGGCCTCAAGAAGCTCGTCGCCCAGCTGCCCGACAAGCTCACCTCGACGCTGGCGCCGGAGCTCCTCGCCGTCGCGGCCGAGGCGCAGGGGTTAGATGCGGCCTCTCATAAAGAAGGGGGACTGAAAGATGCCGCCAAGAAATTCCTTACGCCCGGGAACTTGCACGAGCTGGTCACGAAGCCGGGGGCCTTGGTGGGATTGCTCAAGGGCATCGTGAATGCGCTCAAGACGCGGTTCCCTGCTTTCGTGGGGACGAATGTCCTCTGGAGTCTGGCTGTCTTTTTACTCCTTAGCATGCTCTGGTATTGCCATAAGCGCGGGCGCGAGGTGAGGCTTGAGCGTGAGGCTGAGGAGGAGAAGGCTCAGGCTGGGGCTGAGGGGGGAGGCAAGGGGGGTGGGGATGGGGATGGGGGGGATACCATTGAGGGTAAGCCAAGGGTTGAGGAGTTACCCGATGATCCTATGTTGCCTGCTGCAACTGCCTCTGCGCCTGTGCCTGCGCCTGTGCCTGTGGCGGGGACGAGTGGTGCGGCCCCCGATGCGACGGGTGCGCGTGAGGGGCCGAAGGAGTAGTTAATACGAGAAGAGAGAAGGTATGGGGGGGGGTAGATAGATGGCTGGGTCCGCTGGTTTGGCCGCTGTGTGGGTAATAATGGGTTGAGCGACGGATTGATAGCATGATTTGCTTACGGTGATGCGGTCACGACGGACGATGAGATCATGATACCCGTACTAATTCTCATCTTACCTTTTTTATTTCCGCCCTCCATATATCTTGTTTCCTATCAAGTTAGATGGGAGGGCTTCTACGATTTCGGTACTGTTTCGACCGCATTATTTTCCAGTTGCGAGGGAAATGCAGTACTACCAAATGGATAATCAATCTATGTAATAACTATTCAAAGCAAAATGGTACGAAGCGGGGATTTGTAAATATTAGGAGAAACGACCATGTGTTACGATACGGGTGTGTTCAGCATGCGATAAAACTCGGAGATAAGATTACCAGGTCTACTATCAGTCTGGATTCACTTACAAGCACGACAGGGACGGACGGCGGTGAATCACCACAGCCTCATAGAGTTACTCATCAATTCAGGATGTTTGAATTTGGATCGTTGGTTCTTGAATACTTCATGTGGCAGGTGTTTAGAAACAACCAACCAAACTAAATACCTCTATCTAGGCAGGTAACCCACCCTACTGTCCCTATAGTATGCGGGGCTATTATACGCATTGGCCCCGGAAGGCCCCCCATCAATATGACATCTGCACTTCTTATTCTTCCGAGTGTATAGTTGGGTCGTTTTGATACGCCGCCTATCAATTTGCAGCATGAATTCAGTGGATCATCATGCTCTGGTGTCAATCCAGAACCAGGCGACGGAATTAAGCAGTCGCCTGCCAGAATGACATATAAAACACCGAAAGTTTTGTTTGGAACTACATGGCGTCTGCGTGATGATAATGTCTGTATCGCGGTAAAGGGGATATGTCATGACATCCGTATTACTAGCTGACCCATGGCATCGCATTAGAAGGATGATGTATATTTCAAGGGAGCCCGGACGAGGAGGACGAAGAAGAGGGAGAGAAGGAAGAACTCGTCGGGTCCGGAGATGGCAGGGAGCTCTCCTCATTATCCTAATCATCCTGGACCAACTCCTTAATCTCCTCGCTCGCTGGTGCAATGCCAACCGGCTCGGCCTTCTCATCCCGGCCACCGGTGCGATCGAGCACACGAGCGCCGTCCTGCATCCAGAAATCGACTTCGTCGATGATATCGGCGACGACGTCCTCGACGATCTGCTCGTCGTAGCGGTCCGCAACAGGCTGCGTCTTGTCTACCTTCTTCTGCTGCGGCGTGCCCACGTGCACCGTGTCCTCGTCCACATCCACCATGTCCACGTCGCCCTGGGGTGACGCATAGTCAGGCGGTGGGTACCAGAAGTCGGGCCCGAAGTTGACCTCGACCGCACCGCCTCGAAATACGCTGATGGCGGGGTAGTATCCGAGCATGCCATCGTCTTTGCCCTCTCGTGCGCCAACTTGCACCTGGGGCTTTGAAGCTGGCGGGAGGAAAGCAAAGAGGTCGGTGAACGCGGTACCCATCGGCACTCCATTCTTGTACACCTTGATATAGGAATTCGGCAATGTCCGTAGGGCGGGCACGGCATGGTTGGGATTCGGCTTATCGCCCTGTCTACTACCTGCGTGACCGGACGCCCCTACCGGTGAGGGGTTCATTAGGTCCTCCAGCTCTTTCGTCGTGTGATAATCGATCTTCTCAAAGTAAATATGTGCCTTGAACCGGATGGGTATCCGGTCTCGAACTATGTTGGCTGCCTCGATGCCGTGCTCCTCCTCCTCATTGATGTCGACGGCGGGGTTGTACTGTCCCTGTACGATCTTCCTGTGTAGATGCTCCGAAGGCAACCGTATCTCTAGTCCTATCACATCACCCTCTCTCATATCCTCACCGGGGGGGAAGAAGTCCTTGGGTCGGGACATGTGCACCTTCTGACCGGCGACGTCCCTGAAGCCGTAGCTGTAGGCATCGAAGCCGACGGGGGCATCCAGGGACGCCTCTCGCCTCGCGAAGCCTATGCGCACATGGCCGTGCGACTCGGGTTGATAAGCTGTGTCCTTTCCACCGGTCCCATTCTTCGTCCCGGGATCGCGATTCAGAATCCCCCGCGTGATCTTGCATTCCCAGTACCACGTCCCCTCGCGCACGGCCACATTGGCTCTCGCCATCCGAAATCCCTTGTCGGTGGTGATATGACGTCCGGACTGGTCGAAGTACATGTGCGTGGAGGCATCTTCGAAGCTCATGTGGGGGCCGTAGGGTTCGGGCTCGGTCTGGCGGTAGTAGAAAGAGGAGGGGAAGACGGGATCGGCGATGCAGTGGAGGTAGTGGTAGTTTTTCTTGTTGTATACACTGGTGATGTAGGTCAGCGGTGATGCGCAAACAAAACGGGGGACACAGCGTAGAGAAAGAGAAAGAGAAAGAGAAAGAGAAAGAGAAAGAGAAAGAGAAAGAGAAAGAGAAAGAGAAAGAGAAGACGGCAACTCACTGTTCGGAGGTCTCGTAGAACTGGAGAAGAGAGCCGTCGGGGGCAGGGACTTCGTGGTGATGGGTGAAGATGGGACCGCGGGCGGGATCGAAGTCGGCGGGTTTGGGAGGCGCCAGCTTGTATCGCAACGGCGACGACTCGCTGGGCGCGGGTTCTTTCGTCTTGGGATCGGGCGTCGCTCTCGAGCTGTCGGTGCCGCCACCGGCTCCGGACCCGGCACCAGCCTTCGACTCGCGCTTCTTCAGCGTGTCCTTCTTTGTCCTCGCAGGCTTGTCGCGGGCCATGGCGGCTGGATCGTCGTGGGACTGCGGGTGCGGGTTCGGATTCGGATTCGGGTTTGGGTTTGGGTTTGGGTTCAGCGGTGATGGGATGGGCGGCGCATGGTCGTCCTCGAGAACCCGTTTTTGGGGGAGGACGGACATGGGAAGAACAGGGGCCGGCACGGGCGTTATCTGCCGCTTGGGCGGGTCGTCGCTGGTCGCCATGGCGGTGTGATGATGTGGTGATGCGGTGACAGCTCAATGGACTGTTACTATGGATACTCCCTCGCAATCGACATATTCTTCTAGAAACCGCCAAGATATATCGATAGATATATAAGTCGGCAATGATGCTGGCTGATGTGCAATGCGATTAAAATAGTGTGGCAACAAGTAGGCAGTGTAAGAGTGGGATCTAGAAATGCATTGAATTGGGTAACTCTCGGGTGGGTGTGTGAGAGAGAGGTAGGTAGGTAGGTAGGTGGAAGCAGCTATTTGAACAAATGCGATGGATAGGTAGTAGGTAGGTAGATGAAGTGTTGAGGCTCTGCTCTCAATTGGCTTCAATTCAAGGTCGGCGGGCGCGTTCGCGTGCTGCATGTGCTATCCGATTGAACTGTAGACTATAGTTAGCACCTACTGTACATGCACTACGGCAGCTCCACCTTCTCAACTCCACCCGTAGTACAGTATTTACAGTTCGCAGTTTCCTCAACCAACGGCACATACAAACTTAATGCAAGCAGATGCCATAACATCTTGAGGTCCCTTTTCAGCCCCTATTGACAATTAATCATGTAAAAGCGACAACATTGAAGTAAACACCAGAGCTTTCTTGCTAGCTTTTCATCGCTTACAGTTTATCTTGCAAGGGTTAATGAACGTCATTAAAAAGCTAACCTTATCGAGTGCATTAAGAATAACATTTGTTTAAAACAATAAAGCAATTATAACCAATGCCAAAAAGCAAGAATGGTATGAAAGGACCACGGCGTAAGAAAGCGGCAAAAAACTGAGCGAGCAGCACGGGACTCGAACCCGCAACCCTAGACTGACCTCTACTAGCTAATAATCAGTTGACTAATAACTATATAGTAGGAGGTCTATACGCTACCATTGCGCCAACCGCCCGCTGCATCATTTGGAGTCAGTTTTCGACTTCTGGGGCGTTACTTATGACACTTTCATGACCTTGTATACTCCCCCCAGCAGGTCTAAAACCGAAATTCCATGCTTCAAAGAATGCCAAAGCAAGAACAATATAGTTCCAAGAATTCCTCACGTTGATGCATCAGAGCAATGCAAGCACCCACCGAGTCATCGGAAATAGCCTATAAGCCTAGCGCTGCGCAGGATGCCGTTTGAATGTTGGAGGTATAGAAAACATGGCAAATTTACAGCCTTTGAGATAACCATGACTAGGTTTCGATGCACAAAACTGAGGTATGAAAAATTAATTAAGACGAGCAAATGGAGGGGATCTGTCCCGACGTGCTGAACCAATTGGAGCACCCCAGCCGATTCCGGCTAACGGGAAATTGTAGGACTACCTAAAGTAAATGGGGCGGACCGAACATGTGTATGTGATGGGCAGTTCGGACGATCAATTACATGGATTATGCCAGGTCGAGTGAACCAAGATCTGGAAACCCAGAAACTCAATACGCGACCGCTAGATTTCGCCAATTTTTGTTTGTTTGTCTAACCGTGTACTGTAACCGTAATGCATGCATACAAAAAACCGAACCCGCTCGTCCTCGTTTCCTTCTCGTTACGTCGTCGTCCAAATAAGCTCACGCCAAGCCAGACAGATCCCCAAATCCCCCATTTAATCCTATCCATCCATCCACCCCCCATATCCCTTCCTGTTAACCCCCCACTAAGTACCTATAAAGTACCCAATCTACCTCATATTCTCTACGCAGTAGGCGCCGCGGCACCAGAGCTAGGCGGGATCGTGGTCGTGGTGTCGTCGTAGCACTTGGCGTCGATGTAGCAGTGGCAGCCCTGCTCGCACTGGGCGCAGTACGCCGGGTCCGGCGGGTTCGAGGCGCCCCCCGAGATGTCGACGAACCCGCAGCTCGACGACTCCCGCCGGCAGTATAGGCACTCGTTGCACTTGGCTAGATCTAGCGGCGCCGCGCACCCCTCGTTACAGAACAGCCCGCAGCTCTGGCAGCTCGGGTCGCACGACGGGAACTGGGCCAGCGTGAGCGCGGGCAGGAGCGCGAGGGCGAGCGAGAGGATGGAGTGGGCGCGCATTGTGATGGGTGGCGGTGGTGGTGATGGTTGTGGTGGGGGTTTTTATTTTTGGGCAGTAGCGTCAGATATGGTTATGGATGTAGAGATTGGTAGTTAGATATGTGTTATACGTGTGCGTGTGTAAGTATCATATATATATGTGTGTATGACTCGGGAGTAAAAACGGCGGGAGATCTAGCCACGACGGCGGCTGAACTAATTTAAACATCAACCGAGCGTGTAAGTCATTACCTACCTGAGCCTAGATGCTCATTATTACACCGAATCCTTCTTCAGTTTCATCCATTAATCGCCGAGCGATCCCGGTCAATTCAGGATTCAGGGTAATCTCTAGTGTTGTTAGCGGAAATGTTTTTATATCCGGGGCATTTTGCTATATCATCTCTAGATCTTCGTCCCGGCTCCGATCCACTCTCGGCCAGGCAGTCAGACGAGATTCTCTAACTCAAACGAAGCCTTTCCCGCAATCCTCCATTCCTCGTGTTATTCGCTTAAGCCAGAAAGCAATTGGAGCAACCACAATCAGTTGATGTGCGCTCCGTTCAAGTCTGCTGTTGTTCTCATGTTCAAAGAGAGATTGACGTCAGCCCATCGGCTAAGTGGAGAGATAGTCGGTGTGAGCCTTAAGAAAACACCCGGCAGTCTAGACAATCCGCGACGTTGCATCCACAACCCCGGCTATGGCTCGATACGAGATCGACAACCAACCCCCACCCACTTGTGGGTTAGTCGGGATCTAGCGAGCTGCCACAACTGCAGTCAGCTCAATGTCTGTGCCTGATATTATGGACCTATTCTTCCGAATCCAGCATAATCTATAGCTTCCTTTTATTGACCTATGACAGTTTCGGACATGATGCGACGGCATGAGCTTAGTCCTTCGTATTGTCTTCCCAACCTATTTAGACCACAGCTAGCTGACCGCATCCCATAACACATCCTTCTCCGTTCGACCCTATGCTGTTACACGCCGCTCGATGGACATCAACCAATCGTTCTCCTGCCACTCCGACGTCCGCACCGTTGTCCATGGGCTATTGGTTCGTCCCGATGTCTCCGCTCTTTGCCGTTGATTCAATACCTGGGCTAGACCCCGCCTAAGCCCAACCCTACCCTAGAATTCTATGTAAGTAGACTTCGATGATAGTCAGTCTAAGATTCTTATGCAGGGACGTCGATATCAATTTTCAAAGCTTACATGCAAGCTGACAGACTTCCCCCAGCGAGCATTCTTACCTACTTCTCGCTGTAGAGTGAGTCATCGTTTATCCCAGCAGAGTCTCATGGCTCATCCAAGGCCACCAGTTACCTTTTACTTTTACCGCGGATTCCAAGACAGATATGTCCCAGTGACACTGTATCCAACTCCCCTTGAAAAGGCACAGCAGATAGGAAATATTGACTTATCCTCCTCAAGATAATGTTCGTATCTGCCCCGCAAGGGAGCCAAGTAGGGTTTACAGCGCCGACATGATGCCGAAACAAAACGGCGTGTAGAATCGTGCCAGACCTACCACCCACCGCTTCACTTTCGCGCTAGCGTCTAATATCTTAACCATACGGGGGCCAAACAGTGCCGCGATCTGTAGCGGTGTGTAGCAGCCGCCTCTAAAAATCTTAACGATCCCGTCGTGCGGTAGGAGCACATGTGCAAGGTTTATTTTGGCCATTGGAGTTACATTACTTAGCGCACGCGCTAAGAAGGAGGCATAAGTTATACTGGTCTGTTTATATAGTATGTGTATAAATGATCGCCACCACCCAGCCCTACGTTTATTGATGAAGGATCGAATTAAATTAGTTCCCCAGGAAAAGAGCGTATTAACAGTTTCTCTTTTGTCTCCTAGAGCTGTCTAAGAAGCTTCTCATAGTCACATTAAATAGCATACCATAATGACAGGCGTAATATTCAAAAACTACTCAGTCAACATCTGTAGACATTACACCTACTTCATGTTGGGTCATTATTACAGACATGTGAGTGCGAGCCCATGGTTTTCAGCCTCTGAAGACAGATATTTGAAGGTGATACCGAAACCGACATGGAAATAAGAAGTTATTCGTACATACAGGCTGTATATCTCCCATTTTCCAAAACAGGACTTAAATCCTCTCAATCCTATTTCAACCAATGGAAAATTTTTTGCATTACGAATATTCTTACAAATTCTAGTTCCCATGCTCTTGTTACAATGAGCCAATTGCATAGGGAAATGCGTTCTCGTGCTACCAACGATTGTGGGACACTGCTTACTTAGACTTTTTTTTTCTACTGTACAGTTGTAAGTGCATCAAGTACAAACGTTGAACCCTTTATATGGGAGCCTAGAGGCTTCGGAACCCAAGAAAAGAAATCCCCATATTCCCCACAGCCTACCGACAGGAGTTCTCTCACGGAACGGCTACCCTGTAAAGCTCTGAGAATGTCTTTCATTTGGACCGTTATTATGACCCTTGACCTACGCGGAACTGATCTTGGATGACGACATACGAGATAGGCCGAAGGAATCACTGACACTTGGATAGTGTAACGATGAAACAGAATGAAACGATGATTCATGTCAGAATCATAAATGCACAATCTGTTCTTAATGGAATATAGATAGTAAATGCATTACGTTGGATATAAATCTATTCGGATAATACGGTACATATGTGATATGTGTTATGCTTCACACATAAACGAATATTGAGCTCCTACAATAGTGCGATATTGGATGGAACTTATAGATCAATAGGTAAGAGAAAAGAAATAATGTGTACGGGAAATTCCGTGGGCTACATGTGTGACTGTGGCGTGGTTCGTAGGTCACAGCCGCGGATGCCACATATCTGCAGATGGCGGGTGTAGAGGCTAGGAGCATATCTGCTTCTGCAAAAATTGCCAAACTACGCCCTATTAATGCTAAAACGGATTGATCTGTGGGTACTTTTTCACCGTATGTCGTACAACGGGAAGGCCGCTATGATCGACGCTCACTCTCATCGACATACTTATGGCGTCTTGCATAGCCCACCTACTAATATAACAGCGGCCCATGCATAAGACGGTCGACAGTTAACCCTTTTCTGCTAACCCGCTCGTATTTGATATAAACAACTAGATACCCAATTTATACAGAGAGCCTTGGATCCTAGTCGCCGCGAGCCAGTTTTCCCGCTCCACCTTCAATGAATCGTTCTCAGCTTCAACCGTGAAAAAAAAAAATCCTAAAATTGCTTAGCTATAACGCCAAGACCGCAGCCTGGAAACTCGACTGCAGTTGGGTGTGTTATCCGGGGCGTTATTGATTCTCTATTTGCACTAGATCCTATGTCAGTGGCTGGGTCTAGGCTTACTGGCGGTCTCGAGATGTCTCATAGCGTTAGAACCTATTATTTATTTATCATCTACATACGTGCCTACCCGCTGCCCCTGCATAACAATCCACAAAGGCTGTCGGCCCCTCAATCACGCGTGCCTTCGGAACCGGTCTCCCGCTAAAAGGCCGGAGCGGGCCTCTCGTGATTGGTTACGGTTTGGCTTGTGGATGGTAAGCCTAGAAGCCACAGGTGGGAGGCACGTAAACGAGGGCTCCTAAAATTCTTTTGCGATTCTGCACTTTAGAGCTTAGATACAACAGGACATAAGTCGGCGCCGGTGGTGTGACTTGGGTATGGTTTATGGCATTTTGTAATGAACATATATCTTGATTCTAAGTTCTCTCACTTTAGCATATTTGCCATCATATGAAGTATATAAGAAATACATTGAGATATCCTGTATGTATGGTATTTCGCTTGTCGGAAGCCGTTAACTAAGGGCCCTTAGTTGTAGGACTACGTGATGCCAAAGAGGGCTACAGGTGTCGTCGACCCTGATTACTGGT